GAATAAAAAAATAATATTGATTTATGAGAGAGTGATGAATATATTATTGTTAATTTGAACATAGATATTCTGGAATGATTGTTTAAGTTTATTAACATTAATGAGTGAGTTATCTCATATTATATATATATATATATATATATATATATTTATATATAATGAATCAGGTACGTTGTATTTGGTTTAATGCTCACCGGCCTAACTCACGGCGTTAGCGTTTGTCAGTTCTTCACGGTATCTGCAGGCCGCGTTTCCCCGAGACCGAAGTGACCGGAAACCTTAAACGCGCGGTGCAGTTACCTCCACCTCCATCTCTCCGTCTGCGCTGCCGAACCCGCCGCCCCGAACGAGCCACAGTGCAGGCAACGACCTCCGCTGAACGCCACCACCTCTTCTCCCCGTTCTCCTCCTCCTTCCCTTTCGCTTCCTTTCGCCAAGCCTAGCAGGAGCCGAGTCCGCATTCCCCCGGTCACCACCACCGTCCACATGGGCCTCCGGGAGGATGGACCCTCTGTGGCGGTGGTGGGCGTAACAGGCGCCGTCGGCCAGGAGTTCCTCCGGGTCTTTTCCGACCGCGACTTCCCCTACCGGAACATCCGCCTGCTCGCCAGCCGCCGGTCCACCGGGAAGCGCCTCACCTTCGAGGACCGCGAGTAGGAGCTCCGTCCGGAGTGCTTCAACGGGATCGACATCGCCCTGTTCAGCGCCGGCGGGTCGATCAGCAAGGAGCTCGGCCCGCTGGCGGTCGAGCGGGGATCGATCGTGTTGGACAATAGTTCGGCGTTTCGGATGGTCATGGGAGATTGGGAACCCGGAGGCCATGGCCCATATAAAGCTACAAGGGAGATCGGGGAAGGGGGCGCTCATTGCGAATCCTAATTGCTCCACCATTGTCTGTTTGATGGCTGCTACGCCCCTCCATCGCCATGCGAAGGTTATCACTCTTCATCAAAATCTAATCTTGGTGTGGCTTTTTCGCTGTCGGTCATGCTTCGTCTTCCATTCGTTTGTATCTTGTTCGTTCTTTGTGGTCTTAGCTATGAACTATAAAGCCACATTTATCTTTGCTCATAATCAACATCAGAAACGGGAATTATAAGATGCTAATTATTTGTATATCCTGATAGAATGGATATCTGCCTTGATGGAACAAATAACATGATGAGGATTTATAGGAATGCTGTAACGACCCGGGATAACCGGCTTATTAATTTCGTTAGGCTCCCAACTATTGCTCAAAATGCTTAGACTTAGGTTAATAGGTAGTACACCCATCATCGTTTGGTTCCCAAAGCATTGTCCAAAATGCTTAGACTTAAATTAATAATAGTATATACATCATACCCTTATAAGTCAAATCTTGATATTATCTACTTTCGATCTCCTCCAGTTAAGGACTTGACATCCTTATTAAGACTCAACATAGTCCATACCAAACCCTAGCATGGTGTATGCGAGTCATAATCCAGTGGTGACTCCACGCCATGACGAGTCCTCTGACTCGAGCTCCTTTACCATATCTCAATTTTAAGATAGTTTTGATACCAATTGTCAGGACCTGGCCTAATGGGATAACTAGTCTATCAACACTCATCTGACCCTTAAGTCAATCTTGGTCTTGCCCGCTTTCGGTGTGAGACTAATCAAAGTGTTACAAATGACATCATTGTTTTTATTTATTCATAGTTGGTTTATTTTGAATATATACTTTAACGTAATGTAATTATGGTGCACTAGAATTTGGAAGCACAATATGTGATCAGTTCATATACAAATTCAGTTTTTAATACTTATATTATGCATTCAAAAGTTGACTATTTTTCTTAAACATTAGGCGCTTAAAGATTTTGATCTCCTTTTGACATAGACTCGATGTTCTTATGGGGTGAACACTAACGCATGTGCCCTAGATCTATTACAAAATATTCATGATAGAAATTATAATTATTGGTCCATGTTTAGGCCTTACTGTAAGTTGTAAGTGGTTAAACCCTGCATGTGGTGGATATATAATTGTATATGGGTAAAGATAATTCACTAGCTAAATTTCAGTGCTCTTATGAAAGCTAGTGTACAAGCGATGAATGGTCGTCTCTGTACATACTGTTTGCCTGATTATTTATAGAGCTTTATTGTAAATAAATTCTGAGTGAATTTTTCTGCTTTCACTTGCTTGTACAAATGAACAAGATGTACATCATTTAATCTTGACTGCATGTACAAATGATGTAATCAAGTTTACATAAAAAATTTAATCTTGACTGCATGATTGGTTTCTGGTTTTTCATATCTTATGGACCTGATGCATGCAATTAATCAGAAGCTGATCATGAAAGGATATTTTATTTTTCGGGCATACTATGCTGATCTTTCCTCAGTTTTCTTTGTCAAGGTTCCTATGAACATGAAGAGGTTCGATTTTGCCATGGCTTCAAGGTTTCCTGCTGGTTATTAAACTCAATTGAAGTTTGTTTATGAATGTCACCAGAACCTTTAATATTTTGAATATGTAGCACTTACAGGGTTACCTGAGTTTGATAGACTTACAAATTTTAATATTTCTTTCAGTCATTGGAATCTGCATCCATTTTCACATTGCTAAGACAACGTTCTTTGAAGATCAGGAAGAATAATGCATCCTAATATTTTTTGGCTTGACTTTCTGCATCCTGCAGGTGGTCAGGATGGTTGTCAGCACCTATCAGGCAGCCAGCGGTGCAGGCACTGCAGTGATGGAAGAGCCTATGCAGCAGACTCATGAGGTGTTTTTGTGTTCTTTTCTTTATTAATCTTTACCTAATCATCTTGTAACTGATAGCCTTATGTACACTCTTCTTACGTTACTTTATAGATCCTGGAAGGCACACAACCTACTTGTAAAATCTTTATGCCACCTTGATCTGAAGACATGATCAGAGGAATGATTAAGTTTTAATGCTTCTAAATCTCACTTTGTGCAGTATGCATTGAATCTGTTCTCACACAATGCAGCAGTTTTTTCTAATGGCTATAATGAGGAGGAAATGAAATTGGTGAAGGAAACAAGAAAATTTTGGGTAATTGCATATCAATTGTTATAAGTATTCAGTTTTTTTCTCAAATTTCTTTGATTTGTATTAATTAAATATTTGATCACCTTATTTTCCAAGCATACCTTTCTCCAGAATGACATGGATGTCAAAGTGACTGCAACTTGCATACGAGTTCCTGTGATGCATGCACATGCTGAAAATGTGAACCTCCAAATCGAAAAGCCACTTGGCGAGGTCAGTTGGAGTAACATTCATAGAAAGAAAGACAACATAGTGAAGAAAATTCCACTATTATTTGTGAACCTCTAAGTCATATTTATCTAGTATGGTTGTGGTAAAGAAGTGCAGCTGGTCTGGCTAACTCGGACTTCTAGATCTATTGGTTTCTTGAACAAGTCTCTAAGGCATACATTTGTATTATTAGAGAATCATTATTTCTCTGTTGATATGCATGGTCAATACATCCTAGTTTCGGAAAGGAAAGGTTTTTGAAGGTAAAACGAGCAAGCTCTCCAACCGTTAATCCGAAGAGCTTAAGGATGCCATGACGTTGACCATAATCAGTGTCATTCTTGATTTTTGTAGTGACATAAAAATACTTCCAATGAAACTAGCAAGTTGTCCAACCAGTAACCTCACCAGTTAAATCATTAAGGAATATGCCATATTCTGATCATCATCGACACTGTTCCTGATTTGTGTGAATCTGAGTGCAAAGATGCATATAGCGTGAGCATTACAATCTCTTGCTCTTTTAAGTTATTCCCTTGGCACTATTTTGGAGGTTGTTTAACTTGAAATACTCTTCAATTTGGTCATGAATCATAGTCAAACCTACTGACTGGAATAGATGTGTTTAGGTATACCTTCAGGATTAGAAGTATATATATGCATAACTACTAAATGTGTATGCACAAATATAGCATTTGTTGGCAAGGACAAGCATTTGAAGCTGACTGTTGTTACAAGGCAATCTCAAACTGAGTGCTTTGTTAGATGACAGGTCTTATCATTTGCACTTAATCATTTAATTGTTATTGACCTAATTTGAATGTATAGGATACCGCTAGACGCATTCTGGAGGGAGCTGCTGGTGTGGTGGTTGTCGATGACCGTGAATCCAATCACTTCCCTACACCACTGGATGTTAGTTTTTTTCCTTTATCATTTACTAATGTTAAAACTGGGAGAATCCACAAATAAAATTTGCTACTGATTGCACTTCCATCCAAATATCACTGCACATCACCTTTGCACTCCATTTGAATCCTTGCTGATGATTTAAATCAGAGATGAGATCTCCTTACTGCAGGTATCCAACAAAGATGATGTGGCGGTGGGTCGCATACATCAGGACCTATCTCAAGATGGCAACCTCGGGTAATATGCTCCATTTTGTCAAAAAATCCGAATGATTGCTGCTACTATTATTATCTTCGAGCTTCACAAAAATAGAATACCATGTATTGATCAAATTGGACATATTTGTCTGCGGAGATCAGATACGTAAAGGAGCAGCCCGAAAAGCTATCCAGATTGCCGAAAATTTGTCGTAGACGATGCCCCCCCTGATCGTTTTCGCAAATGTTAAGCCATTTTCTCTGCGGCCTGTTGCTGAAACACAAGATACGAGATGATAACGTCAAATTTTTTGGTCCTTGAAATAATTCAGTGTCTGTTTATGTTGTGAGAGCACAATTCTGTAAGATCGACTACGCTTTCTCGACCAGTTGATCTTTATGTACCATAACCTATGAATTCTGTTCTGTGAAAAGAAGATTTCATCTGTTTCGGCCCATCTGGAAATGCCTGCCTCTTGATTGGAATTTTCATCTGTGGATCTTCCCAAGGTCAAACTTTTGCAGCTTTCTGAGGACCTTCTTCCACCATTTGACTGAGATTTGATTCAAGCTTTTCCTGAAGAAATATATACATTGCGATGTTCCAAACTTTTGTTTCATTTTATACTTGTGGAAAGCTTTTTTTAATATTTATTTGTATGAAATATATCGACAACATATCACTCTCTTTTTTATGTATATATAAACACACACACAACATATCTGTATATACGTATATCTCATCATAATCCATTGAGAAGTATCGAAAGATACGGAGATGCCGCAAAGGTGTTCGATCAAGGACACTTGGGTCGCCTCCTCTTCCCACTGCCTGTGTACTTGTCCCTGTAACAGGGGCACTCATCTTTGTGTCCGTACGTTCCCGATGGCACGCACCGGCACTGCTCGCAGCACAGCCCGCAGTACTTGAGGCACCGGTCCTGAACGCTCGCCTTGGAGCACCTCACCTTGCACTTGGACTCGCAGAACGCTGCAACCACGCAAACGATTTAGCGCAACGGCATGAACAGAGCAAAGCAAACAAGGCTTGTCTGCGATTACCTGAGCCTGCCATGGTGGCTTGGAGGCAGGAAGAGGCGAAGAGGACGAGGAGAAGAGCTAAGATGGAGTAGAGGGGCTTCATGACTGCTCACGGTGCAGAAAGATCGGGAGGGTCTGCTGATTTATAGGAGAGTGGGAAACGTCGTCGGTGAGGAGTAGATGATGAGGTTTGAGCTGGCATCCGATCGGCAATGGCTTCATCATGGGATCACAACAGTAGGGGAAGTGGAGGGATGCAGTGCTGTTGTGGAGAGTGGGGTAGGCGGCCTCATCGAGGTGCACTGATCGCCGGTTGCTGCACGCTTCTCTCGAAAGGAAGATATCGAGCAAGAATGTGGATGACTTTGCTTGCCGTCGAATCTACTTTGTTTGGATTTGCACATCTCTGGGATGAACCCGCAGATCTTGATAAGCTCAGTTGGACGGCACTCAATACTATTTGCTCATCCATTCCTTGCATTAATTTGGATAGCTTTCATTCAGCTCATAGACCATTGATATGGGAAGTCTTCAGATGGAATGGAATTATATAGGGTGGGTGGTCAAAGCAATTGCCTTGTGATATAGAACAGCTTACTCGATCTTCTCTCCCTTCTTCACTCATCAGTAGACCTTCCTTCTCTCTTCTCATTGCTCTGATGGATAAGTTGGGATGACAACGTACGTCGAAATTATGGCATTTATGAGGCCATCAGCTTTCCTATGCCTTCTTTCGAAGAAGGTAATATGCTTCTTTCCTTCGATCGTATCCAAGTTTCTTTTTCTCTTTTATTGGTTTTATGATTAAAAAGGGTTTACCCTGAATTTTATTGGATTAGAAATCGTATCCAAGCATATAAAAATTTCAAGTCATCTCTCTAAGAAACTTTGTTGCTGGTTTTATATATCTGAAAACGACTGATATGTTTCATGAAATATATAATAATGTGAAAGAAAATGAACTTCTTTTGAAAAATATGTGAAAAATATCATACCACAAATATTTCAGAACATTTGGATCTTCTTAGAGGGAGACATTTAGTTTTAGATTCCAACATTTGTAGTGACATTTTCCATATATAAAAAATAATAATTAAAATGGTGGTTAAGTCGAATATTAATTAACACAGAAGATGCATAAGAAGCACTCAACAATAGTTGAAGATAGCTAGTAGCATCTTTGAAACAACCAATTCAATGTACAATCTTTTAAGAAAAAACCACGGAGAAACAGAAGAGAACAGGCAATGATGCGCGGCAAAATTTTGACAAGGTCGTCTTGACTCCTTCTATGTACACCATCCCCATTGACCTTTTATTCAAAATCCCATCTTATTCAACTACTGTTAGATCATCGGTGAAATTGATGTATGCTGCAGTTGTACCGGAAAACCTCAGAATAGTATCTATTCGACTCGTCGGACAGGGTCGCCTGGTTCATCCGCATTCAAGGAGAAGATGTCAACAGGTGCCGTAGTGCAGTCATATATGCTACCTTTGATCTTTGAATGAACGCCTTGATGGTTCTGATCAAGAAAAATCACTATTACGGTGATGTCGTCGTGGAAGTGGCGCCTTATACCCTTTCCAATCCGTTTTATATCATCATATCTCATCTCCCTCTTTCTTGCAGCCTCATTAAGAGCAGCCCGGATCAATCGCTTAGCTATTCCCTGCATGAGCCAGTGAAGAATTGACTAAGATTACCATCAGAAGCACGACATAGCATGTTAGAAAGGCAAAAGTGAGCCAAGGAGCTCACCGCTCTTGGGTTCTTGAATACTATCTCGACAGCAGCTTCATCACTTAACTGCTCCCAGAGTCCATCTGATGCAAATATCAAGAATAAGTCATGTGGCATAAGCTTTCGGACCCGAATCGATGGCTCTGCAGTGATGACAGGTCTCTTCAACGGAACTGGAGAAACAAATTGATGGAATAGCGGATCCCTACTGAACTCAGGTTTCTTTAAGTAGATGTCTCCGATAGACCTCGAGACCTTACAAGGGGAAACCAATGTTATTTAGTACACAACAATGACGGGATTAAAAAGATTAGAAATGAGGTTTGAAATAAGCTAAGCAAAGATACAACAGATCTCACGACAACACAACATATAAAATTACACATTTAGCAAAATACTTAAAAGCTGATCATTGGCTATTCACAACATACGGATACACTTTCTTTAGGTAGATGTCTCCGATAGACCTAGAGACCTTACAAGGGGAAACCAATGTTATTTAGGACACAACAATGACGGGATTAAAAAGCTTAAATTAGAAATGAGATTTGAAATAAGCCAAGAAAAGATACAACATATCTCACGACAACACAACATATAAAAGTACACAGTTAGCAAATACTTAAAAGCTGATCATTAGTTATTCACAATATATGGGTAGACACTTCTTGGATGTTGTAATCAAAGATATTGTTGCAGTAGTTTTGTGTTAAATTAACAACATAAACACTATAAGCAGCAGTTATTTCTTCCAGTTAAATTTTACAAGCATACAAGCTCAATAGCAAGCTAACCATACTAAAGGAGACAGCAAGTGCGGTCTAGCCTGTACAAAGAAAAACCGAAGACATGTTACAGAAAATAAACTTAAACAAAGCAGTCTCCTTAGGATCAAAAGCTTAGAGCAATAGCTTTTGAAGGGTTTTGCTCTGCATGTTTGCTTTTGAGAGAAAAATATATATAAAATAAAAAGTGACCTTAAAGATAATAGTTACTAATATTATCCACTTTCAGCAGATAAAAATGTAAATCATGAGACCAGTATCAAGGAATATAGTGTCACATGCAAAGCTTAGGATTCGTGATGCAAAACCTTCTGTTGATTCAGCAAAAGGTAAACTGACAAGAATGACACATTCAAAATCAGGGAAGGGAATGAAAGTTCCACCACTGATAGCAATCCGCTATGCGAATTTTCAGCCGTTGCATGTGAAATCCAATTCACGGTGGTTCTGTCTAAACGATAGCAAATGAAATCAACGCTGACATTATAAACCATATAAACTGAAACTAATAAAGAAGTTAAATGGATTTTCTCTAATGTACTCCTGAAAGTATGCATTTTCTCTAATGTCTACCATAAGGAACCTGTGCATCTGCATGAGTCCATTTCACGTTTTATAGAAATACGCATGATACAGCTCACATTAGGAAGTTTCTACTTTGAATGGACATGTTTGAAGTGTTTTATCCCCTCAGTCACCTCCCAAGATGTATAAGATGAGATCACAAAAGACCTGACATAAATAAAATCCTTTACATAGGAAACTTACAAATTCACACAAAAGAAGAGCTTCACATGCAGAAGTATTATCGATCCAGCCATAAATCAAAGATGAAAATGGAAAATAAACCACAGGAGAGGACTTTTGTGTTGAAGGTAGTTCCAAAACATTAGAGGATAAATGTCCCATGGAGATTTACATTCTGAAAATAGCTTATTTAGGTAAGAAACCATCCTTAAATGGAGAATAAGAGCAAACAGTTCAGATGAAGACCATTACAAAATGAGAAAAACCAGCAAAAATTCAAATAAATTGCTGGTACAAACGTCTCGAAACTCAGATCACTTCCATGAGACTATCATTTTGGCATCTGGACAATTATCTAGGCACCACCAAGTCGCTACAAAACCTAATAGTAGTCTGCCTTATGGTATTATAATTCATTACGGAAGTTAGAAGTAAATTAAAAATTACTTGATGCACAAGACCAAAGGTTGCAAAAAAACCAGCACAATTACTTGAAGTCATCACTCATCCATGGACATGAATGAATCTCCATGGCTATAAGCAAACGATCGGCATTTTGAGATTCATGTACCAGTCAATTCTATTTCATTACGCATGGAGAGCTCACATGAATGACCCTAGGAAACTAATCAATCAGCCAATATTCACAAATGATGCCAAGCTCAAATGATCGCTTAGACGAAATAGCTCTTCATCAAATGTCAACTGTCGTCCCATATGTCAAGGCCACTTGAATATTGAGGACAAGAAAGTATGAATCAAAAGACGGATATCATCAGGACAAAAATACAAATTTTGTATACTTCTCTAGTGCATTGAGGTAACGGTGAATCTCTACTATATGGAATAAAGTAGCTATTTGTTAAAGAGTAATTTTATAGTGTTTACTGATTCAGATGACATGATTAAGAGGTGTAGCAAAATTCTAAAGAGAGGAATTGACGAACCACATACTAAAGAGAAAGGAACAAGAATATGAAATCAATCAATTTAGAGAACACTAGGGATGCTTCTCGTGAATCAAACTAATATCAACCATCTAATCCTTCACACCAATGTGCTCTGTGCAATCAAGGCAATTTCCTCACCTGAATAATCCCTTTTATCCGCCAGACGCCACGGGTGTGAACGACGATCTGCTTATCATCAGGATGCAGCTCGGCGACCTCCTTCCTGACTTCCTCCACCGAGACGTTGTGGTCGGTGGACAGCCGCTCCGCCACCACGGTCCTCCTGCCCAAGGCCCGGCGCCCAAGCACAGCCCTGGAGTCCCCCAAATTGGCCACGTAGAGCGTGTCGCCGGCAATTGCGCCGACAAGGCAACACGATCCCACCGACGCGATCTGCGGCCGCGATAGCCATGACCGCTTCACCAGATGAAAGAATTCCTCCTCCGTCGCGTCGAACGCTTTCTTGATAACATCCGCCGACAAACCCCCTTGCTCCGAAGCGAACCCTACCCAAATCGAAAGAACAAACAGTAAAAAAAAAAAAAAATCAAAACTTTGGCCAGATTGGCACATCAAGATGCGATTTTGACGAAGGAAACGATGAGAAGATCAGGGCGGAGGGAAGTACGATCGAGATGGGGAAAGAGACGGTTGCTGACGAAGCGAGACGCCTCGGGGCCGCCATGGCCGTCGTAGACCCCGACGAAGGTGGCGGACGGGGAGGTGATCACCTGGCCCTGGTCCTCCAGGGAGTTGTTGGCCTGGACGACTGCTATGGAGAACTCGCCGGAGGCGTGGGGCTTAAGGTCCATGTGCCACATCAGCCCATCGCCGCCGCCGAGCCTCCCGAAGCACCGCTCCAGCGGCCTCACGCACGATCGCAGCATCACCTTCGCCGCCGAAGAAT